AAGATCCATAATCTCTACCAAAAACCCAACATATTTTTCTCCTTTTTTAAGTTTTTCATATCCTGATTTACTTTCTAATAGACATATTCAATAATATAAATAAAAAAGGTCACAAACAAAATATACAGTTTTATGATAACAAATACTAATAAGACTATAAAATAAATTAAGTTAAAAAAACAATAAAACCTGATGTTAGAAAAATCCGGTCCAATGCTCCAACAAATACTTCAGTCCTTTTATTCCTAGTTTGTAACTTCCAATAAAATTATAGCACCTAAGTATAAAATTACTACCTCCAAATCCTTGAAGAGTCCCAAAATACCAAACTATGTGAGAATAAAGAAAATAGGAGATGCAGTGAAATAGTGAATCAGATGGAGAGACTGTAATGGGTGGATGAGAGAAAAAAGCATTTTTAATGAGAAGAGAAAAAAATCATGAGGAATAAGGATAAAAAAAATGTATGGAAGAAAGAAAGATAAATGTTAGGAGTTTAATAGAAAAGGTAGGAAAGGGAAGAAAAAGAAAAGAAGATGGAAAGTTATATCAATTCCCAATACAATTATCCATTAGATACGTATAATAATATATCAATATTAATACTGCTGCAAAGATTGAAAAAAATAAAATAAAACTGGACTGAGGACAGCCAAAAAAATTTTTTGAGGTGAATTAAGACAATATTAATATAGCTAATGTAATGATAGAAGAAAAAAATAAACAAATAAGGTGTAATGAGATTGAGGAGAGGAGGAAAAAGAAAAAAGAGTAAGGTGCAATAAGGATAAAAATTAGGAGTTTTAATAGAAAAGGTAAGAAAGTGGAATGAAAAGTTTATTAATGAATTAAATTCTATGGGCCCACTATTAAATCTCCGCTATTGGTTGAGCCCTAAAAATATAAGGATAAATAAAAAAATTAGGGCTTTCTATTGGCTGGGACCTTAGGCAACAGTCTAAATTGACACACGTTCACATAAAGGCAATCACCTAATCTTCCATCTTCTCAAGCTTTTTATGTCCTTATAATTTTAGGCCCCAACCAATAGCAGAGATTTAATAGTGGGCCAATACAATTTAATTCATTTAAAAACTTTTCATTCCACTTTCTTAACTTTTCATTAAAACTCCTAATTTTTATCCTCATCTCACCACCCTTTTTTTTCTCCCCTATTAATATTGTCTTATCTCACCTCATCATTACACGTTTTATTTCCCCTCTATCATTATAAAGGCCATATTAATATTGTCTTACCTCACCTTACTTTTTTTTTTCTTTCTCCTCTCCTTATTGCAATTTTTTTTTCTCCTCTACAAATGTATTAATATTGAATACATATCTAATGGATAATTGCATTGGGAATTGATAAAATTTTCCATCTTCTCCTACTTTTTCCCTTTCCTACTTTTTCTATTAACCTCCTAACTTTTATCTTTCTTTCTTTCTTTTATCCTTATTCCTCACTTCTTCCTTTTTCTCCTCTCTCATTACAAATGCTTTTTTCTCTCCTCTACTCATTACAAACTCTCGATATGAACTCACTATCTTACTCCATCTCCTATTTTCCTTACTCTCTCACATATTTTGGTATTTTGGGACTCTTTAAGAATTTGGATGTAGTAAGTTTCTACTTGGGTGCCATAACTTTATTGGAAATTACAAAATAGGAATAAAAGGATTGAACATTTGTTGAAGCATTAGACCGGATTTTTCTAACATCGTGTTCTATTATTCTTTATCTTAATTTATTATCTAGTCTTATTATTATTTGTTATCATAAAACTGTATATTTTGTTTGTGCTTTTAATTTATATCATTGAATATGTCTAATAGAAAGTATGAATCAAGATATGAAAAACTTTAAAAAAAAATAATAATAAGAAGGAGAAAAATAAATAAACTAATTCAATATTTAAAAAAAAGAGCTCTTGATAAATTTGTTACAACTAATAATCAAATTATTAGTTTTAAAATAATTTTTACAAATAGAAACAAACACTCCAATTGAATTGTTAAATTACATAGAAAGACTAGATTCTTTTACAAATGCATGTATTGCTTACATAATATTATTGACAATACATGTAACTGTTGTTGCATCATAAAGGAGTTTTTCAAAGTTAAAGTAAATAAATCATATCTAAGATCAACTATGTCATAACAAAGATTAAATGGAACAGCTATATTATCTATTGAAAAGATGCTTTAGCAAAACTCGCATCATAAAGGAGTTTTTCAAAGTTAAAGTTAATATAGCATATCTAAGATCAACTATGTCATAACAAAGATTAAATGGAACGGCTATATTATCTATTGAAAAGATGCTTTAGCAAAACTCGCATCATAAAGGAGTTTTTCAAAGTTAAAGTTAATAAATCATATCTAAGATCAACTATGTCATAACAAAGATTAAATGGAACGGCTATATTATCTATTGAAAAGATGCTTTAACAAAACCCAAATTCATGAATCTAATTAATAACTTTGCATCTCAACAAGCAAGAAAAACATTATTAACTATTATTTGTTATTAATAAATTAAATATTAAAAGCCCAATTATATATTTTTCATCTAAAGCCTCAAATTATATTGAGCTGGCCCTGGGAGCATGTCATAGTCAGTAAAAACCTACACGTAGGGAAGCTATTAAGGCTTTAGGACAATGCTACTCACTCTTAACTTAATCTGTTTATTTTCATTAATGGTATATGTATTGGACTATTAGTTTATAAGATTTTATTTATACCATTGATATTCTGATATGATTATATTATGATATGAATAAATAGTGTTTGGCTAAGTTACATTTTGTTTATGATTACTTGAAAGAGTAATGTTATGAAGAGAGTTTCATCATGACAAGAGCTTTGAGCTCTTCATATTTAACCACTAGATTGAGACAATTTTTTGAGATCTCTTGATAGCATTACCCTTACTTAAATAGAAATTATGAATTAAAATAAACAAATTTCCCAACAGTTTATACAGAAATAACCTGAGAAGAGCTCCTAAAATAAAAAAAGCAAAGCCGATCCCCCGCCACAAAATCAAGAAGAAAGAAACGAGAACTGTTTAATATATAAATAAATCCACTGATTTATAATAGGCTAGAAAATTAAACCACATGCAAACTGACTTCAAAGACAACTATATTGCCATTTATCAACAAATATAAATAAATAAATAAATATATATATATATATATATATATATATATTGCCATAACAATTCAAAATTCCCATTCTTCTGTTCACCCCGCAATCAGAAATAGTATTAGGACAGTATAATAATTCACGTGTGAGAAAAATCATTTTGTAATAATCCTTATATTAATTAGAAAAATTCAGCTAGTTAATTTTCAAAAAAACCATTCCCAATTAAACTAAAAATAGAACCCAACCACAGGTTAATTTTCAGTTAACTCTATCACATGAAACAACAGTTTTCAACACATACATTGAAAAAAAAAAACCATACTTACGATGAGAGAGAAAGATGATGAAGGCGTTGTTGAAGTTCATAAAGAAAGAATAGAGATGATATTATGATATCGTTAGATAGTTATCAGAGAGATGTAGTGAGAGAGAGAGAGAGACAGTAAAGAGACTATAGAGAGGAGAGAGATCGTGTGAGATTAGTTAGATAGTTCGGTAGATTAGGGTTACGCAATTATGCGAAGTAAATGTATTTGATATAAATAGTTAATTATAAATTATTTGATTAAGTAATTTACTGTAAATGGTAGATGTATCACTACTTTTTTATAATAATAAATTAATAATAACGATTGCGTTTTTTATATTAACCGTTTTATTTTAGGGTACTGCTTTCATTTTGTCTCGTAATTCAATACCCTAAATTGGTGATTGATAAAGTAGAATCTCTAGAATAAATGACACTTATAATTTTTTTAATTTAAACCTGTGAATTTAAATCATTTTTGAAAGAAAAAAAAAAGAACAAGAAAACATATTATATCATTTATTGGCTAAATTTACCTCTTTTTGAACAAATAAAAGTAATATAAAAATCTAAATAAGGGTAAAATTTTGTAAGATATGTAGAGATAGGGGTAATTATTATAATATTCTTACCAAAAATCATGAATAAACACAATTTATTTTAGAAAGTGAAAATGGGGATATAATTAGAATTTCTTATAGTTTTTCAAGAAATCAAAATTTTCCTGTGTTTTTTGTGGAAAAATAAGGTAGTAGTTATGGAAAGTTACTTTCCTACAAAATTTTTCTTTCCTTTTAAAAGATTTGAAATTTTTTTTTTTCTTTTCATTTCTTACTATTTCTATCTAACCAAACTAAGCCTAAAAACTCACCCCTCACATCTTTGAGGTCCTGGTGCACGTGAAATGGTGGATTACATGTGTCCCCGCTAAAGGCTTAAGGAGTCCAACGAGTTCCGACACCACCATGTTGACCCAAAAAAAAAAAAAACTCTTTATACAGGACCATGTACCATATCCTTCATGAGATTTCTAGGGGAAACAATGCTTCAGATCATCTTCTTGCTCACTCCAACTATGTTGCTCCAACCCAACCATGTCAAAAAAATTATTGTATATTGACAGAGAGCCAGAAAGAGGGAAGTTTTAGCTCCATGTTCATCCCTGAGAAAGTGAAGTAGGTTGTGCCTGATTTTTGCCAACACCACCTTATTTTCAGTCCAAAAATCTGGTGTGTCCTAAGGTAGGTGGTACTATTACTACTAGATACGTTAACTATATTGATTCTACTCCATCATCCAACTCGCAGACTCCCAAGTCCAGAAAATATTATCACTTTTATATTCTTCTCACTTTGCCAGTGATAAAAATCATTTTGAAAGACTGATTTGTGCCCTCAAATGCTATATATTAGCATAACATTCCATGGGATCTCTAGAAAACATAAGCTGTTAAAAAAAGATTCTGCACTCGATAGAAACAAAGCAATTTAGTAACACCATAATGACAAAGTTCATACAAGTAAAAAAAAAAAAAAAAAAAAACCATTAATCTGCTATTGAAAAGATACAGAAAACCACTACAATTGATCAACGTTTTTATTGTTCCTTCAATGCTTAGCCACTTGAATATCAAGTTCATCATAAGATTCAGAACTTGAAGCTCAAATAAAGTATGAACCATCTACACAAGACAAGCTTTACACGGACTACATTTCCATGGTAATTTGATGAAAACATCGGAAAAGATAACTCAAAATGAGGAGATGCCGGACTACCTATCAGTGCCTGAAATTACCATATCCTCCCACACCAGACGATCCATACCCACCATAGGGCTGTGCAGAGAAGGAAGATGAAGAATAGGAGCTATTATCAAACTGCGAGTAGGGAGACCTAAAACCAGTGTCAATCTTGCCATAACTACCACCAACCGGCTCTTCGTGGCTGCTTAAAAATTCCTACAAGAGAGAAGGCAGTGCATCTATAGTCAGCTTTCTTTTACATAATTTAAAACTCAACACAACATCAAGTTTGTTGAGGTATTGAAATAATCTTCAGAAATTTGGTTGTGAAGAACCATTTTGAAAGAACTTACCTTAAATCAGTATATGCATATGAAGTGGCTCCTTAATACAATTTTAAAATCACAAGCTATGATGAATTCATCCCATAATTCACTCAATAGTTCTTTTCCTAATATAATCCTTAAATTCTTGCTATGTTATAGCTTTCTTCCTCAAATTTAACCTTAGGGATAATGTAATTCGTAAAGCAGGGGCTTACTTGAAATAAATAAATAAATAATAAAAACATAGCACAGCCTGACAAATTCATTCAAAATAGATGTGTTACAAGTCATCCATAAAAAAACAATCAATAAAGTTAATTTTACGAAGAAATCAGTTCTACCGGGTAAAAAAAAAAAAAAAGGGTTTGAAGATCACATAAATTAAAGGAAATGATTCCTGCTACCTGAATAAGTTGCTGAGCTGTCTGAACTTGCGATGAAGTCCCTTTAATTTCGACAGTGATTTCATCTGGTAAGCCTCTACTCTCTTGCACAGTGAGGATGGCGCCACTAGTACGTCGGATATATGCAATATTTGCCCCTCCAATCCCAATGATGTCCTCAGCATAAGTTAGTGGTATTTGCATTGTTTGCGCAATCTGAATAGAGAAAGAAAACAAATAAGATAATAATACTAGGTAATAAACGTACTAAAAAATAAAAGAAATAGATACTGGGGCCAACAACATATAGCAACTATTTGACGAGCAAGAACTTATACAAATCTACAAAAACCATTTTCTTTCTTTCTACCTTTTGGCAGTCCTATCACCTATGCATACTACTCCACTTTTGATGCTCTTTCTCCAAATAGAAAAGATGATATGTTATAAATATATATATTTTTTTTAAAAAAAAAAAAAAAGGAAAAAATAATAAGAAGAGAAAATGGGCAGGACTGACATTTTATTATAATGTGTCAAAAAAGTAGCCTTGTACCTTTCACTAGGATATATAAAACCTCTGATGCAATTTTATTGATCTAATCTAATTGTGCTTCCACAACGCCATTTTAATTTTGCCTTCTAAGAGACACAACCAGGCCTGCATGGTTTATGGTGCCAAGCATCGCTAGAACAAGAACTATGATTTTACTTGGATTTGAAAAAATTTCCCATTGGAAACTATTAGTCAAATCATCTTACAGTATCTTTTAGGTAGCAAGCTCACCAGATCCAGAAGGAATAACAGCAAAATAGTTTACTCTTGGAAAGCTTCCAACATCTCAAGCCCAAAGCATATCTCATTAGTATTGGCTCAGTACATCACAAAGTAAAACTGAGCAATATTTTGCCGAAATTCATGTTCCACAGTGTCAACAAAAAGAAGCTTTTATCCAATCAAGCATCTTTCAAAAAGCAGAGGCACAATCGAACAAAACAGCAATGGAAGAGGATATATGATGTAAAGCATTCAGTCAGCATAGATATATACCAGAAAGAGGATAGGAAACTACTTACTTACAAATTTCAGGTTGAAGACTTAACTGCTAAAAGCTTCTTTTCCAATATAATAAATTAACGTGGATGAAAAGGCTGAAGATGTTTGACAACTCGAATACATTTCAATTTTGTTGAAGTATCTATCAGAGTATCATGTTAGGAGCAGGTTCTGTCACATGGAAAATCACACATCTCACAAGGATACATAGAGGAAGGGCACAACAGTACCAAAGGCTTTGTAGCCCAGTGGCATCTTCCCTATCTCCCAAAGGGGTGGTGAGGTTTCCAGTCCCCGTAGGAACAAATGGGTGTGTGAGTTTCTAGCCAATGAGGAAAAAAATGGAGGGGCACAACACATATGGGAGATTCATGCAACTAAGAACAATGAAACCATTGAACTAAAAATGTTCATAAAACATTTTTACCCATGTTTATAACACTACCTTTGTACCACGCAATACACATGTTGAGTTTGTTTTTCCTTTCAAATGGGAAATGATAATATTGTTCAAAAATCACAAGCATAAAGCCTCCCTATCAAAAGTTCTAATAGATTCAGGGTGGAAATGTTACTTAAACCAATATTGAAACAATAAAGGGTAATATTCCCACTCCAAAGGACAACCATGCCACTCCATCAAACTCACATCTCAAGACGGAGAAAAAGACAAATATGAACCCAGAAGGGACATGAATTATAAGAAAATAATACTGTTGAAACCACCAACCTGCGTTATAATAGGACCACCAGCAAGACCAAGTCCTGAAGAACGTATTCCCGAGAGTGCAGAATCTTCTCCATATAGTGAAAGTCCAGGAGGAGGCATTCGTGATTCCATATGGGTTTCACGGTCAAGAAACAGAGAATCCCGCTTTGCTGTAAGAGGATAATCAGTACCAATTCCAGTTTGAGAAGTAGTATGTGACAATGGCCTGTCAGCCCAAGTCTCTACTTGGCGATCTTGTAAGACTGTTGTATTGTACTGCAGAAAATGGTATAGCAAATGAGATCACTGCAGTGCATATTCTATAGTCAACATCAACATAAATCGAACTTACAGTCTTCTCGAATAAGGGAATAACACTATGATCCACCAAGAACTTCCTTAGATGCCCAACCACAGCTTCTAGAGCTTTAAGAACCTTGAGAGTTTCTCCCTGCAACTCCACAATCCTCTCGTCTGAGTTGACATACGATGGCAACTCATCTGGCAGAACAAATACGAATTGTCATGTGCAGTGTTATTCAGAGATGCAGGGAAAGAAAAAAAAAGGTGAATTACTCTAACCACCCCTGAGGTCTGTCCAAATTACCTCCAGCTGAAACTACTGGCAAAAGTATGGTCAACCTCCCTTAAGGTTTGTCCAAATTACTCCAACCACCCCTGACATCAGTCAAGGGTTAAGTCCGTAGTGAAATACTTCCTAAATGCCGAAACTACCTTTGAGTAAGATAAAATGACCATTTCAATGAATTATATTTAGACAAAACTACCCTTGCATGTATCTATATAACCTACCTCACTTTCCCTTACCAATTGCAACAATTTCCCTCTTTTTTATGGCACCAAGCACACTGGTAGTCTCTCTGTCTTTCTCATTTTTTTTCTCTCTGTTTTTTTTACCTGGTCAGTTTCTCTCTGTTTATTCCTCTCTCTCTCTCTCTCTCTCTCTCTGCTTTTTCTTCTCTTTCTGTCTTGTTTCAAGCAAAATCTGGACAGTGGTGTGGATTTCACAATGTGGTTGAACCATTTGAATCTTATTCATTGACTTGCAACAGAACTTAGCTTATTTAAAAGTCCTGAGCTTAAGCCAACCAAGAACAGGGTTGCTCATGATATCATCTCTTGATGCTAGAAAGAGATCATTCAATGGTATGTTTTTCACTTGCTGGACTTTAAGCAGCTTTGGCTACTCTAAACTAACTTATTTTACCTCATAACAAAATTTGACAATTGTTGAAAATCCACTTAATTTATGGGTATGTCCTGACATTTCCAACTGCTGTTCAAAACAACAGAATAGCAAAAACAATCAAATGGAATTGGTTACTATAAACTAATACAATCAGAATTGTCATACAAAATCTTTTGTACATAAAGATATGGCTGATATGGTGGAGAGAGTGTTTGGAGATGATGAGGGTTTCATACTTGTGAAGGGTGTATGGAGAGTCAGAGAGAGAGAGAAAGAGAAGTCAGAGATCCTATTGATCGTACTGAGAGAGAAATCCAAACGCCACCTTCAGATTCTGTTGTCTTTGGGGTTAGAAGGGTAGCTGGTAATTTAATATTTAGTAATGACATCATCCAAACGTCAGCAATAAAGAAGATTTTTAGTGAGGGCAAAATAGTACTTTCATAGCTATCATTAGTTGGATTAATGGCGCTATCTTTGATAGGGGGTGTCAGAGAGATTTTTCAAAAAGTGTCAGCCGCAGGTAATTTGGACAAACCTCAGGGGAGGTCATAGTAATTCACCCCAAAAAAGGTAATTTTAAGCATAAAAAAAGATCAAAGATATGAGACATACAAAAAAATGTATCTAATAGAAAGTTCAACAGAAGACAGAAAGAATCTTTGATACAAGTGAGAAGTGCAATTTAGACGGGTGGAATTTCATAGGGATCAGGTATTGTCCAGAAATAATGGCCATGAAGACCAAAGCTTTGCTTAACCTTAGACAGTATTATTCACAAAGTGAACCCGCTTTCTCACGATGGCAGGTCTTTTACTATTACAACAAGCAACGGCCCCTGATAAAACAATTCTATAATAAACAAACAATTTGTAGGTTTACTAAGAGTTGTAGCTTAGTGGAATCTCCTCTACCTTCCAAAGTGGAAGGTGAATGGGAGTGTAAGCTTCTTGCCACGAGAGCGAAAAAACAAAAACAAAAACAAAAACAAAACATAGCTTTCAGAACATTTCAGGCATACCATTGGAGAGAACCCGGATAGAGGCATTAGTGCTCTCCTGTATTGACTTGATCGTAGAGCCTTGCTTCCCAATCAAATTAATGGCTTGTGTGGATGCCACCAATAACCGGATTGAACAAAATGCAGCTCCAGCAGCACCAGTTGCGTCATTATCAGATAATCCACTGACACGTTTGAATACTCTTATCGTAGCATCCATCGCTGGGGACAATGATGCCTCCAGTTCTTCCTTTCCAGATATCAAAACCTATAAAATTGAAGAACAAGTTCACAGTTGGAAATTAGAATTTGATGCCTAAGAAGAAAAACAAAAAAGAAATGACCAAAGGGCCTCTAGCCCAATGATATAGTCTCTCGTTCTCTTCTGCCTAAAGGGGAGGTCCAGAGTTTGAGTTCCACTAGGGACATGTTGTAAATGAATGGGTGTGTGAATTTGCTTTAACTTCCAAAAAATAAACACATCTTCCGTTGTCCATTTGTTCGAATTTGGATTGTAGACATGTTTTAATGCTAAAACACTAGTTTCATTTCAAATAAAGGTAAAAACTTCACAAAAAGCAATCAAAATTGGTCAAGGTAAAAGAAGCGATCTAGGTACAGCAGCTTTACTCAAGTCCAAGATTGCATTCCTGTTCTTAAAAGCAATAAGTACTTGCACTTAGGTTGCATGTCTGTTCTTAAAAGAAAACACAGCCTAATGAAAAGGATAGAGAAGGGGAGAGAGTGTGTGTGGAGAGTACAGAAAGACATTCTGAAACACAAAATTTGATACCCAAACAAAATAAAAAAGATAAAAACACAAACACAAGCATTGATCACATGGAACACAAAATACTTAGAATTTGTGCATTAAGGACGGCAAATCCATTAAAACCTTGTCAATATTCACAAAGAAACAACCTTGGAAGATAAAATTACAATTTTAAAATTGAAAAGTTAACATTGTTCTTAACCTAAAACCCTAGAAATGGGTAACAAAAAGGAAAAACAAGAACTGGTTAGAGATACAGAAAAGAAAGAGAAAAAAAAACCCTAGAAATATGGATAGAGAAAGACTCACAATGCGATCAGAAGTTCCGTTGGGGGCATCAAGGACGCGTATGCGAGCGCCAGTCTCCTCGGACATTTTCTTGATGAGTTCACCTTTGCGGCCGATTATGCCACCGACCTTGAGGACGGGGACGATGAGGCGAAACACGCAGTCCCCGGGCCATCCCGGCCACTTCTTGACGTCTTCGTCGGCTGAAGCTGCAGCCGGAGTGGGCATTGTTTCTTCCGGCGCTGATCCGGACAGAGAATGATCATCTCCTAGTGACTCGGACTCGGTGGCCGTGGCGGTTGCAGTGGCGGAGTCAGTTGTCTCCGTTCGTTGATCAGATTCTGGGCCCTTGGATGACCCGTTCTCGGCGACCTCGGTAGTAGCAGCAACAGTAGAAGAAGCCATGAGAGATGGAGAGAGTATGGTATGGTGTGATAGAGCTAGAAGGGGCTTATATTCGTATAATGTGTTGTCGTCCCGTGGACGATGTGCTGTACAAACAGAATCTGTTGTGTAGACCTAATTTGGTGCGGGTCCCATCCTTGAAAAAATGACGTACTGACTTGGATACTAGTATCATTTTTTTTTGAAATATTAAAACAGTGATAGGTTGAAATTAGAAGAATAATTATTTTCCTTCTGTCAATATCGCGTGATTCAAAAAATAATAATTATGTAAACAAATTTAAAGAACAAATTGGTTCTTTGACAATAATAAAATTTACCACTTTCATTTTTTCTTCTATACATTTTTTTAATTATTTTATATTTATTATAATTACATTTTTCAATAGATTGTATTTTTCTCAATGTACCTATGAAAGATTAATTTTATAAAGGGTTAAGTGGAAGAAAAGAAAACAAAATCATCTACTATTGATATAGTGCAATATAGTCCTTGTGTGATATAAAACCTACCTATACTATCAATTTGGTGCAATTACTCCATATTCGCATAAAAAGACATTAATACCCTCCCTAATATAAATTAAAGGATTAAGTGCAAAAAAAACCCCTCATATATAGGGTTTATGCAGAAATAGTCCCTACTTTTTGAAAATATGCATTTCAGTTCATAAAATTCAAAAAAAGTTGCAAATAAGCCCATCTGGCCACTTTTTGGTCAAAATTGACATTAAATAAATTCAAAAACCCTATTTTGCCCTTTCTTTTCCTATTCTACCCTCTCTCTTACGTTCCACCACCACCACCATCCCTAACCCCACCACCACCACCACTACCACTATGTTTATTCTAGCCATTCTATTCAACCCCATAGCCAGAGTTCAGCGCCAATCTGTTGAGTTAACTCATTGCGTCATCAAACAAAGACACATCACAAACCCAGCTGTTAGCAACAATGAGGACGGCGAGCTCGGGACACCGTTAATGTGTCATCGGTGATGGCAACTGATGGGAAGGGTCTATATCTGTTGGTGTTTGCCGTCTGGTAATAATGAGAGCTTACCGCCGGAGTTTAGTTGGCGGTGAAAGGTTGAGGTCTTATTCGACGACGATAAGACGGGGGACGGTGAACCTCGTAAGGTGGTTTCAGACGGGAGTGGTTCCGCCGCCTCTGAGGAAGAGGTCAGCGGGATTGGCCAAGTATAGTTCGGCGGCGATGAGAGCCTCTGTGATAGCTATGAGGCTCAACCACTACTTTACTCCCTCCCTTCATTCCACCACCACGTCCACCGCGACCGCCTTTGCCTCTTCCTCTCCCTCCATCACTTCTACCGCCACCATAGCTTTTAAAACTACCACAACCTCTGGGGCCTCCGGGGCTTTTTCCTCTTCCGAAGCCCCTTCTTCCTCTCCCTCCATCACTTCTACCGCGCCTGTCTCTGCCCCTTCCTCTCCCTCCATCACCTCTACCGCCACCACGACTTTTAAAGCCGCCGCCACCTCTAAGGCCTCGGAGGCTTCTTCATCCTCCAAAGCCCCTTCCTCCTTTCCCTTCATCACCTCAACCACATCTGAACCTGTAATACCCCTAATTTTAAAATGATAGTCTCGGTATTTTTATTAATTGTTTTAAATGGTGTTCTTGATTCTTTAATTGATTTTCTTGACTATTTGTTAATTATTTATATGATTTAATTAATTATGCGTTGGGTTTTCTTGTAATAAATAGTTAGGAATTTTAATGTTTTAAATGGTTGCTTATTTTATTTTTAATTCATTTTCTTTTAGGGTTATGGATAGTAGTCATGGCCAACCAATTGGGTTCCATGGACTACTTGGATAAGGGGTTTAATGGGTACGGATAATTACCCATGGATAGTGGATATGTATATATATATAATTAAATAATATATATTTAGGAAAAGTCCATTGGGGATAATCTAGTGTATTTATTTTATTTAGATAAGAATAATATACATAAATTATACGTAACTTATATTTTTAGTTATCTTTTTAGTTTTTTTTAATTTTTATTTGTTCTTTATTAGTTGGATGTGGATTGGGAAAAGGAATAGGGTTTATATGTAGCATATATATATGTCTTTATAGGGTTGGAAAATGGGCTAGAAAATATATCACGTATATTATTTTAGAGAGAGAGAGAGAAAGAAAGAGGAAGAAGGAAGATGAAGAAGAAGGAGGAGGCTAGGGTTTAATCAAATCCTAAAGACAAGTTCTCTGTTCTACACTTCTCCTTTGATCTGTAACCTATATGTCTCCAGTATAATTTTAGGGATGTTTAAAAGATTAATAAAATTGGAATCCATGTTTTAATTTATCTAGAACTAGGTTTTATACATCTTATTTGTTCATGGTTGTTCTTGTGTAAACTGTTAAATTCATGATTTGATTTGATTATTTTGTGAATTTGTTGCATGATTCAGATGATGTTTTGTTTTATCTGTATATGGATGGAACGTAGAAACATGCCTAAGATTCCTAAAACAAATAAAGATTTAATGCACAGTTGAAATTATGGGTTGATTCGCGTAAGTTTGGACCGCTGTTACAATGCTCGAGCCTTGGGGGCAAAACTCGAGCCTTGGGATGAAAAGCTTGAGCAATTAGTTGTGAAGCTTGAGCAACTGGCTGTAAAGCTCGAGCAATTGGTTGTAAAGGTCGAGCATTTGGGATGTAAAGCTAGAGCTTGAGAAGGAAAGCTCGAGCAATAGGGATAAAAAACTCGAGCCTGAAGTAGGATGCTCGAGCCTTAGATAGGGTGCTTGAGCAATTAAGACAGAAGCTCGAGCCTTACCTGGTGAAGTCTCGAAAATAGCGTTGTTTTATTTTTAGATTGGATTTGTGGAGTCCTAAACATCAAATAAGGACTAATAATGATTTAAATAAATTTTAAACAAAGTATGGAGAATGCTTAAGTGATTGTATAGCAAAATATAACAATCTGTTTAAGATTCAGTATGTGTAGGATATGTGACATAGGAAACTTAAATAAATTATAAGTTGCCCTATTTTGTGTTAGCATGATATAATATTATTATTATGTTTAACTTTAGATTATGTGATGTACTCCTGAAATTATTACATCAATTGTTGGATTGTGTGGATTAAGTGCACGAGTATGGGATGGCGGCACTCTAGGGATGGATTAACTTATCAGTTAAGTCCTACCTATTATATAAGGGAACGGATTAACTAAAATGTTAAGTCCTACTTATATTTGTGTCAGGTCAACTAAACAAGTTGAATGACTAACTGGATTACTGGATACTTATACTTATGTCGTGTCAAGGCAATGAAAAGTTGAGCGGCACTACTTTGGTTTGGATGGAGTTTAAATATATAGTTATGATACCTCGAGATGAGCTTGAATCTCAGGATCGATGGTTAGGGAGCGTATATGCATTGGGATGCATAGTTGGTTATGATGGTTGGAGGTGTACCCTGTTAGGTTTAGGTACGCATGCCCACTTCGGGTGCATTTTGCATGTTGCCTCTATTTAGGTTGAGGCTGGCCTGTAGTCCAGTGAGAGTCCTTTAATGTGGATATATATATATTTATGGATTATATAGTTATTGCATGGGTTAGTTATAGATGTATAGTTTTCCGGTCTCTGTTTGGGTTGTTGTAGAAAGAACTTGTTCATGAGTGTGGAGGGAAAAAATCCCCCCTCCAATAAGAATCGTCCACATCATCACACTACAAAGGTCTTGGGTGTGTTTTAATGCAGGAGGAGTGATCGATTTTATATGGGTCTCGTAAGCTTAAGCCTCATGAGCTTAATTATCCAACACATGATTTGGAGTTGGCAGTTGTGGTCTTTGCCTTACGCATTTGGAGGCATTATCTGTTGGGAGAATCCTTCAGATTATTTAGTGATCACAAGAGTCTGCAGTACTTGTTTACTCAGCGAGAGCTGAATATGAGATAGCGTCGATGGTTGGAGTTTATAAAAGACTATCAATTCTCTATACAGTATCATCCAGGGAAAGCGAATGTGGTGGCCGATGCACTCAGTCGCTGACCTGTTAGTAGTCTTTCTGCTCTATTCACTACTGAGTGGAATGCTTTGAAGACGGTGGATGAATTGTCAGATGCTTTCATGGCTTGCATGGTAGTTACACCTTCTATCATTCAAAAGGTTTTGAAGGCACAATGTAATACCCCTAATTTTAAAAGGATAGTCCTGGTATTGTTTAATTGTATTTTTAATTCATTTAATTTGTTATTTGTATTTGTTTGTTTGTTTGTATGAATTACTTGTGGGTTTGTTTAATTAGATTTTGTTTTTTGCTTTAAATGATAAATTGATTAATGTTTTAAATTGGTTTTAATTTATATTGTTTTGGTTTAAGTAGTTGTCTTATTTATGGATTTATTTGTTATAATTTAGTTGTTTTTAGTTGAGTTAATTTTATGGATTTTAATAATTTAATTGTTTTAAGTTAATTATTTTAAATGACTGATTTAGTTAGGTTTAGTTAGTTTTCAACGTGACTTTCTTTTAGGGTTTACAGTTTACATAGGAAGTCGTCAATTAAATATAGCTTAGGTTGTTCTATGGGCCGAGTTATATGTGGATTAGGGATTAGTGTATAAACCTATAAATATGTATGTTACAGTGGATTAGGGTTTAAAAAAACACAAAACAAAACGTGAGTTAGTCTGTAGAACAGAGACTTGTGAGAACAGAACAAGGCTTAGGAGAAGAACGGAGAGGACCAAGGGAGAGTTGTGGGGGATTAAATCAAAACCATAGGAGGCGTGAAGGTGGTCAGTGGTTGCCGGAAATTAGGAAGACGACAACACAGTTTTGAGACCAAAACTACAGGCAAGTTCTTCTCTTTCTCCTTCTCTTTGGCTCGTGTTCTGTGCATCTAGATAGTCTCTAGGGTTTAAATTGAACATTAACTGGAACCTATGTGTTTAATACATGTTATATCAATGATCTTTAGGTGTTGATATTAATTATGTAAAACAAAATTTATGCATGCTTTCGTTTCAGCATTCTATTCTTAAAGCATGTTAAGTTAGTTGCAATTTTAGCCTCT